GCCTCTTGTTTGTCTGCAGGTGAGTTGCTGCAGATGATGGAGCAGAGTGACCTCGCCGTGAAGGATGCCACTGTCGACACTCTGTGAGTGGCCTTTGCAGAAGGGTCATTGGCAGGGGGGCTCTGTGTGAGGTGGCCAGGTGTCATACCTATGCCCCCCAGTGGTCCCACATGAGGGTGAGAGGATACTTGGAACATCACCAGCCCACCAGGACCTACCATCCTCCCAGGCATGAGTTGGGTATGGGCAGGACACAGGCATGAAGCTGTCACCAGGCCTACAGGAAGACTGCAGGCTTGGGCTTTCACGTGTGTTGGCTGCATTTTCCAGACTCTGAACCTTCAGGAAAGGGGAGGCCACGGGTGGCTGTGCCCTGTTGGGAGGTGACACACCTGCACCCTGACACATTTCCTCTGTGAACCTAGTTTATTCCTAGCATCCTGCATCTGAACCACCCAACAGAGCTGCTCAGGGCCATGGCCAGCTCCCCACCCCTAACACAGAGCCGAGTCAGCTGGCTGGGCCGAGCACTTGCCCTGGGCCCACCTCACCCCTTAGTGGTTTAGTGGTGAGGGCCATGTGTGTCCTCTCACAGGAGGAGGGCTGGGGTGACAGAGCACCAGGGATACCACGCCCTGGTCCTGCCTCAGCAGAGAAGGTGCCCTGTCAGATTGCCCTCAGGTTCCCAGTGTCTCATCTCTGAGTTGTGGGGTTCTCCAGAGACACATGTGATTGCCAAGGGTGGAATTTCCCCCAAGGCACATTTGCAGCAGTGGGAGGGAACTGAGGAAAGCCAACAGAGCATCCGTGCCAAGCTGCCTCCCAGCCCCCTTAGTCCCTCCTAGCCATGTCCCCACACTGGCTGCTGGGCATCCCATTTGTGCCTTTGCAGAATCCCAAGTCCCCCCGTCCTGACCCTCTCTGGGAGACCAGAGTCCTCCGGGAACCCCACAGTACACGGCCTGTCACTCTCAGCAAGACTTCACCTGCAAGCTCCATATGCCTGATATGGTTCCTGGCATAGTTCCCTGCCAGGTGACACTAGCTGATCCTTAAACACTGCTTCCTGCATGTGGGGGCACGTGTTCTCCTTAGGAGGGGGCAGCTGGGCAAAGCTGGAGTCAGATGAAAGTGCCTGCTGTTTGAGTCCCGAGCTAGGGGACAGCAACTTTCCTGCAGGTGACCCACTGCTCCTTGGGGGCACAGGCTGACCAGCTACACAACTTCCCCTGGCCCTTAATATCCCTGACATTCTGGGCTTGAACGTACGTCACAGCCAACATTTAAGGACCCTCACCCCGGGCCAGGGAGAAGCTACTGGATCTGACACCTGCATAGGAGGACCCCTTCAACTCCTTCTGCAGTCTCGGGTTAGGGGCCCACGTGAATTTCATAGGCATTCAGACTAACAAAGGAGGCAGGAGCTTCCTGCAGAAGCACAGACGTCTGTCTGTCGAGGCCCTCACGTGCCAGCAGCCATTTGGATCACAACACTCCTCGGAGTGTGGCTTAGGTCTCACGGTTGTTTGCTCACCCGTGTGGCCACGGACATCAGTGCTGGTGACCTCACTGGAGGCTGGTCTTTTCTCTGCCTGATCAGGTTTGGAGACTTGAAGGAAGAAGAGGTGCGGCGCCATGATGGAGCCATCTCGGACGGGTACCTGGCCCACGTCTTCCGGCACGCGGCCAAAGAACTGTTTGGCGAGGAGGTGAAGGAGGTCACCTATCGAGCCCTGAGGTGTGAGGGGGAGCAGTGTCCTTGGGCGGCCGGGTGGCGCCCACGGTCATGTGGTTCTGAGAGCAGAGCACCTGATGCCGGCTGTGAGCTCTCCTTATTTTGGCCACATTTCCAAACATCAGCAAACCATCATGAAAAAGGATTAGTAGAGCAGTAATGCGTCCTGTTCGCTTTGTAGAAACAAGGACTTCCAGGAAGTCACCCTGGAGAAGGGCGGGGAGGTCGTGCTGCGATTTGCGGCTGCTTGTGGCTTCCGCAACATCCAGAACATGGTCCTGAAGCTGAGGAAGGGCAGGCTACCGTACCACTTTGTGGAGGTCCTCGCGTGTCCTGGAGGTGAGCAGGGAGCGGGGCGGGCAGCTTCTGGTTCCGGGCCCGTGCTGGTGTGTGACACCTTGTTCTCAACCCTGACACCTCTGTGGGTGCAGGCGGTCACCTCTGCTTGCAGTGAAGAGCTGCTGGGAAGAAGAGGGGCTGCGGACATCCCCTGGGAGATGTCCTGCACTGTGTGCCTCATGGGGGCCACTGTTGGTCAGAGCCATCACTGGATGACAGGGATACCACTGCTTGTCATTCACCAGCAGAAAGAGCTGGTTGGTGTGGCTGGCGTGGACAACATGCCTCCCCATGAGGCAGGGGACTAAGGTTGGCCAGGAGCTTGCTGCAATGGCAGAGGTAGTTCTGCCTGTTTCCTGTTGGTCACTCTCATTGAGCAGATGGGACAGGCTGACATATTAGCCCAGACAGCAGGTGCTGTAGTCAGTGTCCCCAGGAAGTGTTGGGGTCCCTGAGGTGGCAGCCAGGGTGGACAAGGAAGCCTGTGTGGCTGGGGGATGGGGCCTGGGTGCAGAGATGAGGGGAGCTGGGTTCTGGACTTAAGCAGAGGTCCCTTGGAAAGAGGGTCTAAGCTGGGCCACGAGTGGCCTGTACTCTGGGATGTCCCCCTGCAAGCCAGAGGCCGGCAGAGCCAGGGTGGGCCTGGCCCTGAGAGGACCAGCTGCTGGAGTGGGCCATCATGGGAAGAGAGGCTCATGGCCCTGGCAATCGCTGGACCCATGAGGGGGACGGGAAGCAGATGCCTGAGTGGTGCCCAGAGGAGAGGCAGCCACTGTATGGGTTGGGCGGCCAAGGGTTGGCTGTAACGTAGGAGCTGAACTGGGTTCCTGCGCTCCAGCTGAGCTGGAAGTTCCTGGAGGAGGCCCAAGTGAAGGGTGCAGTTGGGAAGGAAACAAGGCTGGGGGTACGGGGCCACAGGAGGGGGCTGCGGCCCGTGCGTGGAAGGGGCTGAGAAGGAAGTGCCTCCCATCTGCTTCTAATGAGAGCATCAGCCCAGCACAGGGCTCTCCCAGACCTGAGGGGCTTTTCAAAATTGCAGGTCAGAAGTTTAAATCTGTGGGCACTGCCATGGTATGTGGCAGTTCAGTCCAAGCAGGACGGCCATCTGCTCTGCATCCTCCTGCAGGACTTCTTAGTAGTCCCGGCCCCTGTGGCATCCTGTACGCGGGGCACCCTGAGTGCAGAGTGAGGCCGCTACCCTGTGACGCTGGCCATGTGCCTTCCGTGCTAAGTGCAAGCCCCAATTTGCACACACAGCTGCCAGTGCTCTGAGAGGCACCCCCAGTTCGTGGGGACCAGGGTTTGACAATCTCAAAGGTGAGACACATGTCAGGGCCCCCCACTCCAGCCTCTCCTTGCTGTAGGCCCTCCAGCTCCAGAACCACCATCCCTTGATGCAAAGCTTCCCTAAAACTGCCCTCGTCTCTGTGTGTTTCAGGGTGTCTGCATGGCAGGGGCCAGGCCCGGGCTGAGGACGGCCACGCAGACAAGGCCCTGCTGCGGCAGATGGAAGGCATCTACTCAGAGATCCCTGTGCGGCCCCCGGAGAGCAGCGAGCACGTGCAGGCGCTGTACCGGGAGTGGCTGCACGGCGCCGACCCCCCCAGGGTCCAGGCAGCGCTGCACACCTCGTTTGCAAGCACGGGGCTCCCCCCCAGCGGCTTAGACATCAAATGGTAGAAGAGGCGGACCAAGGAACTGCTCAGTGGGGGAGTGCTGGGAACTCTGAGAGAAGACGAGTCAGCTTGTCCCCTGGATGGTCGGAATCCTCTCGGCTCTGTTAGCTCTATTTATCGAGGCCTGCTCAGTTGCACGTGGGGCTATCCTCACGACACACATGGCATTGGGATGGTTCAGCGCAAGAGAGGGCCCCTGACACAAGGATCTTCTTACCCTAAGACTGCGATAAAAGCCCAAAGGAAAGAACAGAGACAGATGAGTGGTTTTTAGGGTTAAGAAATGATGCACATGGTGTCCTGGGGGAGCCGAGGCCACAGGAGGTGCCATGTACCTCTGTACCTCGGGTCATCTGAGGTTGGAACCGGCAGGAGGCAGGGGCAGGGTGGAGCACCTGTGCTGACCTGGGGCCTGTCAGCAGCCGGGCCAGGCTGCCCAGCAGGACTCCTGGTTTGGCCGTTGCCACTCCCCTTGTCGGTATGTATGCCGAGAACTTCAGCAAACTGCCAGCCTTTTGGAATCCAGGGACTGTGTACAGGATTCTGGATACAGACCAGACGTCCTGGGCCACAAACCTGTGCAGGTGGTGGTGGTCTGCCCTGCAGGTATTTGTCACCTGTGCCCTGACCCCTGGCTTTCACATTGTTTTTAAATTGACTTTCCCACCAGGTGATAGGGATGCCTGAGGGGGGTGTACGACAGGAGGGATGGGGTAGAGGCACCTCCTGTACAGGTGGAGGGATGCCTTCACCCCTGCAGGTACTGCAAGTGTGAGCATGCCCTAAGGGGGGCAGGGAAGAGAAGACAGCTTACTTAGAGTAATGAAGAAAGGGCTTGGAAACCCCTGGAAGTCTCCAGCGTCTAGTAATCTAGTAACCACAGTGGGGTTCACCCTGGGAAACGAGCTCTGTGCCGCTGATTTCAGCGACAGCACTGGTGACGGTCCTCGCCCCTCAGTGTGCAAGCCTTGGCAGCTCCGTCTGTGCGGTTACCCTCATCCGATCACGTGCTAGACCTGCCCACGTTGGATGACAGTACAGTGTGTGCAGTTGTATCTGTCTGCTGTCGACCTGTACACAGTTGGGTCTTCATCCCCTGCCTGAGTATGCGATAAATGCTTGGACAGCATGTCTGCACGAGCAGTTTTGGCAGAGCGTGTTCTCCAGCCGTGCAGCGTGTGGTCAGCGGTAGATGCTGCCTGCCTTCTGGCGGCCAGTCCAAGTGGTCCCCTTGCACATCCTCAGCCATCCCCGGACCAGAGCTCAAAGCTGGCCTCTGCCTCACCCCAAGAAGAAACCCAGCCAGCCTGGGACTCCAAGCCCAGGAGTGGGAGGGCTGGCCTTTATCAGAGTCTGCCATCTTGGAGCCACAATGAGGACTTCAAGCATGTTGGCAGTGCCCTTTACAGCTCACCTGCCCCAAACCTGTGTGTCACTTAGGGAGGCCAGGACCCAGGGGCGGTGCTGTCCCAGGAGCACTGGCAGGAGTCTCCCTTGGTCTCAGGTTACAGTCTTGTGTGCTGTATCTTCTGCGTAAGAGAAGAGTGGAAAGAGGTGTCCTTTTTCTTTGTTAAAACCAAAACGGAATGGGGCAAGGGGAGACACTTGGATGAGGGGGCAGCACTGGGGCGAGTGAGGGGAGGAGGGTACGGGAAGTCCAGGCCCAGACCCCACCCACTGTCGCACATGAGTGCTGTCAGGGCTCTGATGCCACTGTGTGCTTCTAGTGGACCGTGAACTAGCCTGTGAATCTGCACACATGTTGGCCATCTTCATGACTCAGTCCCTGTGGTCCAGCCAGTAAAAACCAAGGCCGGACCGCCCAAGAGGCTAGGTGTCCTGATTCACGTCCCCCTGGCCTCGTCCAACTGCTGTGACACCTGTCCGTTCTGGAGTTGAGAGGTGAGCTTTGTTCACTTGTGTAGTTGGGCTCTGCCCAGGTGAGGCACAAGGGCACTGCTTTTCTGCACGCTCCTGCGGTTCACCCAACTTTGAGGGTGTCTGCTGTGTGGCCCATCGCTGGAAGCTCCGCAGATGCAGGCTTCTGGGGCACTGGACCACACGGTCCTGCCATCCCACCATGTCTAGGCACCACTTCTGGCCCTGTTAGAGAAGAATCTGCAGCCAGGCAGCTGCCCACCTTGTGGAAGGCTGCAGGTCAAGGGCAACGAACCCTTTTCGTGTTTGGGTTTTTTTTTTTTTTTGCAGCCACAGTCGGAGGAGTTGTTGTTGTTGTTATGTGCCGTCGAGTCGGCCCCGACTCATAGCGACCCCTCCTTGGGTTTCCGAGGCAGTATCACTACGGAAGTAGGAGTCGGAGGAGTAGGGACCTTAAAGGGTCAGAAGCCCTGACGGAGGTGGCTCCCCCCCCCCACCGAGACATTTGCGCACACTGCGCGGTGGGGACGGGTCAGCCGTGCCCTGGGCGGGCTGCGACAAGGGCAACCAGCTGGGATGGTTCAGAGCCTCTTGCAGCTGCCGACAGCCGGGCCCCCAGCAAGCCTGGTGGAGTTGGTGCGCAGGGGACTGCGCGTGCGCGCGGCGTCAGGGAGTGGCCCTTCCCTGCCGGACCAGGCGGTGGCGGGAGCCCCACGGGCTGCTGGCCACTGCACCCTGCTCTCGGAGGCATCCGCCCGGCTGCCACAGGCAGCCCGTGGTAAAAGGGTGAAGGCTGCAGATGAGGTTCTACCGAGATTTGAACGCGGATCACTGGATTCAAAGTCCAGAGTGCTAACCATTACACCATAGAACCAGCATGTCCCCAGTCCCTGCCATGGGGCAGTCATCAGTCATGAATGCTGCAACTGGGACAGGGTGTGGCCCCCCAAAAAAACGAAACTCCAGGGCGAAGATAAAAAGAACACGCAGGTCCCACCGAGATTTGAACTCAGATCGCTGGATTCAGAGTCCAGAGTGCTAACCATTACACCATAGAACCAGCATGTCTCTAGACCCTCCCATGGGGCAGTCATCAGTCATGAATACTGCAACTGGGACAGGGTGTGGCCCAAAAAAACACTAAACTCCAGGGTGAAGATAAAAAGAGCACACAGGTTCCACCGAGATTTGAACTCGGATCGCTGGATTCAGAGTCCAGAGTGCTAACCATTACACCATGGAACCAGCTGCTGTGGCTACTGCTGTCATCTGCCTCTTGATGGGGACAGAGGAACAAAGACAAGGACACAGCCGGGGAAACAGTGCCTGGGCGGGTGCATGGGGCTGGGTGCCCTGTGCACAGCCCCCAGGCCCAAGAGGCTCACAGTGGGAAAAACACCTTGTAACAGACGCTGGATTCAAGGCAAGGAGTGCTGGGTTACGGACTTTTACACTTCTGCGGCACCATCCTGCTGTCTGAGAGGCGTGCACCCTGCGCCCTGGAGCCCTGTCCTGAGGGTGATCACAGTGAGGAGCCCCCAGCAGACCAGAGACCAGAGTGGAGCTAGGCGGTTGCCCACTTACAAGTAAAGAGGCCTTCCGCTTTTCCTCCCTCAGCTTCTTACTAGGGGACATCTCTGAATTCATGTCTAATTTTCTGCTGTTGAAAAGTACACGAACAAGTCAAGAAACAAAGTAAATGCATCAGGAAACACACCCTGTACGGCCCGAGTCCGTGGCCCTGGACAGTGGAGACTCAGCGCTGCACTGCGTTGCGGTGGCTGGAAGTTGGGGGAGGAATGGAGACAGTGTCTGCCCCATCAGCTGAATGGCTCCTTGGGAAAGATTCACGTCCTTTTACTGATGCTGCTCCAGCTGAGCCGTTCCTTCTCCACGGTGGAGGAAGCCGTTTCTTCCAGACAAACTGCTTAAAATCAAAGCATCACATTTTCCTGTTTGGAAACACAAACAGGTGTAAACTTCCACCAAGGACATTCTGGACATCAGTCCTTTGGGGAAACTTTCTGGAATGTAGGGAGAGAGTAGGACCTGCAGCAGTGGGTTAGGGCTGGGGACAGGCATGGAGGAGTGAAACCAAATGTACACAAACTGTTGAATGTAAAACGAATTCTGCTTTGTAAATTTGCACCCAAAGCACAATAAACTTACTGCCATCAAGTCGGACCCGACTCATAGTGACCCCTCCTTGGGTTTCCAAGGCAGTATCTCTACAGGAGTAGATTGCCGGACCTTCCTTCTGAAGAGTGGACCAGCCTTCCGGTTAGCAATTAAATGCCTTAGGCAGTATGCCACCAGAGCTCTTCCAAACAACAGTAGAAAAATAAAAAAGAACTGCAGTAGCAGACGGGAGGGGTCTCTCCAATCAGAAGACGTAACCAGACAAGTGACACAGACTGAAACACCTTCTGTTACCAAACCAAGAGTGGCAGCCAGGACTCGCAGAGGATGTGGCTGCAGCGAGTTTAATGGGCTATTTTATGGGCAGAATTACGGGAAGCCGAGAGGGCGTGAGTCCCCAGCACCAGCTACAGCAGCCACACCCGAAGGCGTTAGCAGACCAGGTGGGGAGAAGCTCCTGGGCCCGGTGAGAGCTAAAACTGTTGGGGAGTGCCTCCAACACAAGCCCTGGGCTTCCTTCAAGGAAGGGTCCCTACACAGCCAGGGATGGAGAGCTCTGAGGAATGCCCCACCCTCTTCCGTCCCCCTTCCCATCACCTGCCAGGGTCTCCCAGTGGCTACAGCGGACAGATGCTTGCCCTCCGATTTCCAGGTGGTCTTAGGGACCCAGGTGGTGAGCTGAGGGTGAAGGGGCAAACAGAAGCATCTGTAACCACAGCTGCCAAGGGCAGGGAAGGGAGGAGGAGGACTTGTGCAGTGCTGCAGGGACCTGTCCCACAGAGCACAGGGCAGACCCTGCTCAGAACATCAGGACGGAGCGCAGTGGTTACCAAGGGGGCTGTTGTTAGGTGCCGTCGAGTCCGCTCCAATGCATAGCGACCCTGTGTACAACAGAATGAGACACCCTGGTCCTGTACCAGTCTCACAATCCTTGTTAAACCTGAGCCCATCATCACAACCTGTGTCAGTCCATCTTGCTGAGGGCCT